TCTCTTCTAACATCCATTTTTTATCTTTTCCTTCTTTCTTGTCTTCTTAATGACTTTTTGCTTTCTTCATGTATGATGTTCTTGATGCCATCCCACAACTCTTCTGGTCTTTGGTCTTATCCTTGCCAAAGAATGCCTGAGGTTTAAGATTTTGTTAAACTTAACAACAGCAACAGTATTTGTAATTAATGTGTATTATGTGTTTACCATGTTCCAGGCATTATGTTAGCAGGTTGCATGCATTTATTTAATCCCCGATAGCTCTTTTATTTTTTTCCTCTAACTTTTTATTGTGAATTGAGTGAGGGTTTACAGAGCAGATCATCAGTTGTACATTGAACAAGCCACGCACTTGCATTCATCTCAGTGATTGCAATCTCTTCAGTGTAACATCACTTAACCTGTTCCTCCATGTGTTTCTTCTTTCCTTACCTCCTTCTTTCTCAACCCTTCTGAACTCTGTCTTTGGGCAAATGCTACCCTTGTGGTCTAGAATGATTGATTGTTCGGTGGTATGCATACCTCACTAGTACTGTTGTTTCTCCTATATACCTGTCTGTTGCTTGGGTGAACACTGAACCCCAGGGGTGACTGAGTTCAGTTCTAGACCTGAAGGGTGACTAAGAGCCATAGTCTTGGGGTTCCACCAGTCTCTGTCTGACCAGTAAACCTAGTATTTTTATGACTTAGAGTTTAATTCCACATTTTCTCCCACTCTATCCAGAACCTTCTAATGTTATCCTTTTCAGAGTAGTTGGTGGTGGTAACCAGGCACCATCGTGTTCTTTTGGTCTCAGGGTCATGGAGATGATGTTCAGGTAGTCCATTAGGCTAATTGTTCCTATGTAACTTTAATTTTCATCCGTCTTCTTTGCTCCAGTCAGGGAAAGACCAGAAGTTGCACCTTAACAAAGCATTTAAGGTCCCAGTTGCTACTCACCAAAGTAGGATGTAGGACATTGTCTTTGTGGCCAGTTGACCATGGTGTCCTGCAAGTCTAAGGCCCTGAGCTACTAGGCCCAGTGACTCATTCCCTCAAAATATTTGGTTATGTCTTAGAAATTTTGATAACTTTGCTCCCTGTATGCTCTACCACATTCATGGATATATTTACAGCAAAGATAAACACGTATGGACAAATGTCATCTGTCCAACCTATCTCTCTCTATATTTGTGGATATTACTCCCAGTCTTCTTCCTGCATCATTGTTGTGCCTGAGTGTCTATCCATGCATCCACATGTAGATCACCATTGTTACATTTGCTGTAAGATCTTAGTAACCAATTTTGTTCTCATTAGGTTTGGTTTTCTCTTTACCTTTATGAAGATCCTCAGAATGCAAATGAAATGCAGGGTGAGTCAGGGATGCCACAGTGTGAATCAGGGATGCCACAATTTATGACTCCCCCATTATAATGTGACTTAGTCCTCTTTTGGGGTATAAAAATGGACAAAAGACCTCTACATAGCCCACCCAGTGGACCTGATTCTGACTTACAGCAACCCTTTTGAACAGAGTAGAAACACCCCATACGGTTTCCATGACAAGAATTGTTAGGCAGCAGACTGCCCTATTGCTCCTTCACAGCAGCTACTGGGCTCAAACTGCTGACCTTTCTGCTTAACCCACTTCATCACCAGGGCTCCTTCTACCCCACCCCCAGTCTCCTTAAATGACTTTGTATATGCCATCTATTTGTAGCACATGGGAGGTACGAATCTTTGGACACAAAAATTGGGGCCCTTATTTTTAAGATTAATAAATCTTAGTGGAGCTTCCCAGTCCTGTGCACATCATGGCACACACACACACAAATGATAATGTTTTCCTTGGTGTAAACAAATGAGGCCGCTCCTCGCTGGAGGTGATCCAGTGCCACCTACACACCGTTCTGGGTTACACCTATAACCCCTTTCTGGCACATCAGTTGGGATGCTGTTCTATAGGAGCACACATCCGCGTGTTTCTAAGCTTGTTGGTTACATGAAGTACTCTGTAAACCACAATCTACTATTCATATGTCAGGCTTTATTGATAATTACAATTGAGAAACAGGACACTTTGACCCATGATGTATTTTCTTTTGGGAGCTGTTCTGATAGAAGCAAGAGCTGATGCCAGACTCATAGCCAGAGTTAAGTTTCTGGGAGTGACCTGGCTCAGTCATGAGGAAAAGTAGAAATGCTAGTAATGGTCCAAGGTCATATGACTCAAAACCGTTTATAGGAGAGCAAACTGAGGTGAGATTTGTTAATGATTCAACTATTTCTCCTCATAAAATTTTCTGTCTACCTTTCTGCCTATTGCAATCTTCCCATTCTCAAATTCTGCTTCCTTCCCCCCATCCTTTGTTCTACCGTTGTATTTTATGTTGCTGGGAGTTGACACCCGACTCGTGCTGACTCATGCACAGTGGGAAGAAATGCTTTTTTTTCCTGGTCCTGTGCCATACCCATGATTGGTTAGGGATTGGACTGTTTTGATCCCTAAGGTTTTCATTGGCTAGGATTTTTGGAAGTGAATAATCACCAGGCATTTTTCCTATACTGTCTTTAGTCTGGAAGCTCCACTGAAACCTCTTCAGCATCCTAGCAACACGTAAGCTGGGTGACGGCTGTATATGAGGTGTGTTGGTCAGAAATAGAAGTCAAGCAGGTCTCTTGCATGGAAGGCAAGAATCTTAGCCACTGAACCACCTGTGCCTGTTTACACCTTATACAGAGCTGTGTTGATTGTTCTTCTGGCACTCTATTAAGGTTATCTGGTTCATACATCTCTTTTCTGTACAAGATTGTCACCTCCTTGAAGATAAGGCTGTGTTTGATTATTCCTTGTAGCTTAAGAGCTACTACACCCAACTCCTTCCATCACATTCATTATTAAAACAAAACAAACCCAAAACAGCGAAACCCATTGCCACAGAGTCAATTCTGGCTCCTAGTGACTGCCTAGGATAGAAAAGAACGGCCCCACAGGGTTTCCAAGGCTGTACTCTTTACAGGAGCACATTGCCACAGCTTTCTCGCACGGAACAGCTAGTGGCTTTGAACCACAGAACTTTTGGTTTGCAGCTGAATGTTCTACCAGTGTTTTTTTTAAAAATCAAGCTGAGATTTGTCTCCCTGTGATTTTTTTCCCAATAGTCCACATCCTAACTTCTGAAACAACTCTAAACAAAGTTGCTTTTGTGCTGACCTTTCATACACTTGATTTGCCTGTCATCTGTAGTTTCATGCAGTATTTCTCTGGGTTAAACACTTTTAATGTTAAAATCTTGCTTCCTTGGTTTTTCTTATTTGTTTTTGTCCCTTACTACGTTTACCTTTTCCTTTCTTCTCCAGTGTATAGAGTCCTAGGATTTTAAGACTCGGAAGGAATTAGAGTATGCCTGTGAAGAGCCCTAGTAGTGCAGTGGTTAAGTGCTCAGCTGTCACCTGATCAGTTTGGAGGTGTGAAACTTACCAGCTGCTGTGCTTAGTGGGATACAGACTTACAGCCTTGGGAACCTGTGGGGCCATTCTAGTCTGTCCTATAGGGTGGCTATGAGTTGGAGTTGACTCAGTTGCCATGAGTTTGGTTTGGTTTGGTTTACAGTTTTCCCAGTTGAGACCCTTTGACGGAATTCTTTTATCTGACTAATGTGTATGGCATACATACTGACTTGGTAATTGAAGCTGAGATAAGAGATATTTTGGGGGCTAACACAAATGTTCACAGTATTAGTTTAGAGTGAGATTTAAAAAAAAAAGCCTTTGTCTTTCATTTTGCTTTAAAATATATATGTGGTGTTGAATATCTAATAATATTCGGTTGGATAAAAGAGAAAAAAAAAATGTGTTTTATGCTGAAGCACTGCATCTAGAATACAGGAAAATCTTTAGATTTTTATAGCTCTGTTGTTAGGAATTTGGCTCTAGAACACTAAGTTACCTGGGTTTCAGCACTGGATTTGCCACATGCTAGCTGTACATTACTTAATCTTGGATAAATTACTTAAAAAAAAAAAAAAAAGTGCCTCAGTTTCCTTATTTGTACAACAGAATTAGTAATAATAGGGGGTTGTTGTGAAGTTTAAAGGATTCATAATTTGGTGCATAGCAAACATACAGACTGTGTTAACTGCCTCAGTCACTGCCCCCACCAACACAGAGATACCATTCCTACACTGTGGCATGCGGTCCTCCCGACTGTAACTACAGTAATGGAGTAATGAAGTGCTTTCTTACGGGATTTTACTATATGAGCAATTGTAAGACCTGGCAGCAGACCCTTAAGCTTTTAGAATCTGTTCCTTTGAAACCCACTCGCTAGGAATTCATGTCATATCTCTTTAAAAGAGTGATTTCACTGTCTTCATTGACATTCTACAAATGAGTACTTGCAGTTTGTATTTTGTGGACTCGAATGTTTTGGAATGGGTTTCGTTTCCTTAGTAAAGAGGTTTTAATAATGCATCAGAGTAACGGTTCTTCGTCTGTTGTCAGGTCGCTATCAAGATCATAGATAAGACCCAGCTGGATGAAGAAAACCTGAAGAAGATTTTCCGGGAAGTTCAAATTATGAAGATGCTTTGCCACCCCCACATCATCAGGCTCTACCAGGTAAGAGCACTCCAGATGGTCAGTTGTTATCTATGGCAGCTGCCCTTGAGAAATATTTTCTTACATATTCAGCCTATTGTCCCCGCCCCCTTCTGTTCCCCAACTCAGTACTTAGTATTCTTATGTTCTCCTTGGTTACTTAGTAATAAGAGACTTTGAAACTTGCTCTTGAATGTCAAGTTGATAATGGATGAAATGATGAAATAAAAGAGCTGAACAGAAGATTTCAAAGGATGACTAGGGAAGACAAATTAGAAGTATTACGATGAAATGTACAAAGACTTGCAGGTAGAAAACCAAAAGGGAGGAACGCATTTGACATTTCTCATTCTTAACTAGCTAAAGAAAAATGAAACTTTGAGTTGCAAAAGTGAAGGATTCATTTTAGGAACAAAGTATTGAACGATGTAGGAAGCATCAAAAGAAAATGGAAAGTCTAGGTTCAAATGACTTCATAATTTTATTTTTTTGCTTTTACTTTTATTTGCATTTTATTTTAAGCTTAATTTATTCCCAATCCATAAATTTTTGTTTCTTCAGTTTCTTCTGGGATCTCTTTTTCTTCTGTGCCAACCTCCTCTTCTGGTTTAGGAACAGTTTGTTCCTCTTCAGTGAGGATCACCTCAGTGTGGCAGGGGGGCTCATGTGGGGGTTGATCCGACCGTGAGCTCTGTCATTTTGCCAGTGCATTTTGGAGGGGCTTTGTTGACCTGGATATGCTCAATTTCCAGAGAATCCACATCTAAACCCTTAAATTCAGCATTGTTCGCTACATTTTTAAGTATGTGCAGCTTAAATTCAACACTCTTTTTGAGCCACCGACCCTGTGTCCACCCCACTGTTTGGCCTGGGCACACCTACCAATGCCACCATTGTTACGTCGAAATGATCACTTTTGCAAAGTGACATCGTCGCTATGGGTCAGAACCGACTCGACGGCACTTAACAACATGTATATATATATATATACATACATATATATATATATATATATATATATATATACTCTCATGGGTGTTCTTAAAATGGACCTGGAGATTTGAACCTGATTTGTGTGATTTTGCGGGGTTTTCTGGGTCAAGTGAGTAGCGAACCATTTTGTGAGATTACTGCAGGCCACTTAGGGAAGATCTGAACTGACTTTTGACATAGGTGCCAAAGAATATCTGAAAAGTAGTTTAGTTGAGGTGGTAAAACATGTCTGCCTTGAGCATTTTGCTCTTTGAAGTACTACCTATAAAAAGGAGTTCTGGTGTGGTGCTGTGGGCTAATGTGCTGGATTTCAAAATCAGTTTGAACTGCAAGGTTGGCGGTTCACCAGTTGCTCCTTGGAAACCCTATACAAGATCACTGTGGGTTGGAACCAGCTTGATGGCACTTAACAACAATAATGGGATCAGATGGACCTCAACTCAAAAGATTAGATACTGTGAAATTATGTCAACGAGGAAGGAACAGCTCAAAAGAGGGGGGTGAGAATGACTACACACAAAGAATATAGTCAGTGTTACTAAATGGTACATATAGAAACTAATGAATTGGTGTATATTCTCAACAACAACAATAACAACAAAATAAATACCATTTTGAAAACATATGAAAGAAGGAAAAAACCATAAATGTGTGTAGTTAGAAAATAATGAAAAACCTGTATGATAAGCAAGCAACAAAATAATGGAAAGTATTTACTATAAAGCAGAAATTAACATGAGAAGGAAAAAAAGCTACAGTGAAATACCATCTTACTTCCATTAAGGTGGCTAAGATTCAGAAAGTAGAAAATATCAAATGTTGGTGAGGATGTGGAGAAACTGGAACCCTTCTCCATTGCAGGTGTAAATGCAAAATGGTACAACTGTTGTGGAGAACACTTTGACTATTCCTGAAAAAGCTAGATGCAGAGCTACAGTGTTGTTGAGTCGTTTCTGACTCAGTGACCCTGTATAGGGTTTGCGAGGAGTCACTGGTGAGTTTGAACTGCTGACCTTGTGGTTCAAAGCAATGTTGCGGTCCAGTGTATTATCCAGGGCCACACCAGGACTCTAGAACTACAGTTGTTGTTGTTGTTAGTGCCATCGAGTCGAGTCGATTCTGACTCATAGAGACCCTGTATATGGTTTCCAAGGAGCAGCTGGTGAGCTTGAACCGCTGACCTTGCAGTTCAAACAGCTTTGCAGTCTGGCACATTAACCCACAGTGCCACACCAGGACTCCCGATGACCCACCAAATCTGTTTCTAGGTATATATATTTACCCAAGAGTTGAAAGCACCGACATAAACAGACTCTAGAAACACAAAATGTCCAGGATTGGGTGACTAGATAAACAAAATATGTTGTATACATACAGGGGAATACTACTTAGCCAGTAAGAGAAATTAAGTCTTGATCCATGGTACAATATTGATGTACCTTAAAAACTTTCTATTTAGTGAAATAAGTTAATTACGAACAGACAAATATTATTATATGATCTCTTTTACATGAAATATCAAAAGTGGGCAAATGTACAGAGACTAGAGTTTATTAGTTGTTACCAGGAGCAGGAAGAAGAGAAGGGGGTACCGCTGTTAGGGGAGTAGCAAGTTTCTGTGTATGGAGATGAGAAATTTGACAAGGATTATGGGTAGGGTTGCACAACAGGATCAGTTGTAATTGATATCACTAAATTGTGTACCTGAGAAATGCTGAGTTCAGAGGTGTTCTTTATATTTTTACAACAATAAAAAATTGTATCTAGAATTAAAAAACAAAAAAGATAGGAAAGCCTATAGAGAATCACTGTACCAAAAAAATTGGTTGCCATTCAACCATTTCAGGACGTAGCATGTTATTAAGAACCAATGGTTGGATGGAAGAAATTCAAGTTGCACTGAAGGTACTGGTCAAAAGTAAAATTGTAGGAAATTACAGAGCATCAATGAAATGTCTCAGTAAATGGATTAATTGTGGAAGTGTTCATTCATCTGTGGCAAGAAGTTTGAAAGATGGCAGTGTAGCCAACCAACTGGAGTAGATCCATATTTGTACCGATTCCAGAGCAAAGTAATCTAACAGAAAGTGGAGATTATCAAACAAAATCATTAATATCTTGCAAGAAAATTTTGCTGAAGATAATTAAAGAACCATTGCCAACTGTAGTATATCGACAAGATACTGACACAAATTCAAGCCAGATTCAGAAGAGAACTTGTAACAAGGGGTATTATTGCTGGTATCAGATGTATCTAGGCAGAAAGCATAGAATACTAGAAAGATTTCTGTGTTTCATTGACTATTCAAAGGCATTGGACTGTGTGATCCTCACAAATTATGGATAACATTGCGAAGAATAGGAATTCCAGAACAATCAATCCTGCTCATGTGGAACCTGTACATAGACCAAGAGGTAATCATTGGAACAGAACAAGGAGATAACGTGTGGTTTAAAATCAGGAAAGGATCTGTGTTTGAGTTGTGTTTTTCCCCATATTTATTCAATCTGAATGTGGAGCAAATAATCTAAAAACAGCTAGGCTTCTCTGATTATGTCACCAATTTTACATACAAGGTTCATGTTTTTCCGGTTTGCTTTCTACTTTTAGAGGTTACTTTTTCTTCTGTTTCATTCAGTTTTGAATTGGTTTACTTATGTAAGATGTTACATGATTTGATTTTTAAAGCTATAAACTGACTTTATGGTCCAGTGTATTATCCTGCAGCACACCAGACTCTGAGAAATACAGTAATCTCCCCATTATTTGTAATAATATTGGTATTATTTTGAATTAGTCAATCTTTCTTACTTTCTCATATCAAGGAATTATACTAAGACTACTTGGAAACAAAATTTTCAACATAAAAAAGATAGCAGTATATAAGAATCCGAGATGTTAGGTAAAAACACTTACTACTAACATCAAGTTACTCAGATAACTTGTTCTTTAAAAGTTGGACTTTATTCTTAGTGAGAATTATGTCGGGAAATTATTCAGAAGATGATAAGAACTTTATTTACTTCACAATCTTAAAACAGAACGGGAAACTCAAAAGGAACAGATAATTTGGAAGGTGAAAGTTAGAGATGAATATGTTGTTGTTAAATGCTGTCGAGTCGGTTCTGACCCATAGCAACATACAAGAGAGACAGAGAGAGAGAGAGAGATGAATATAACATTATTTAAATACTGATTTCTGTTGTGAAGATAAAAGATATGCTAAGTGTGGCTTCTTACATCAATCTAGTCCTGCCTCTTTTCTAATGTTAGTAAATTCCTGGGTTTACTTTTCCCCGGAGTTTTTGTTGTTGAGTGACCCTGTATAGGGTTTTCAAGGAGTGGCTAGTGACTTTGAGCCGCCAAGCTTGTGGTTTAAACCGACCTCGTGGTTGAGCGCTTATCCTACAACACCACATCAGGACTCCAGTTTTCCGGAATAGCATTTGATTATTTTGATGATCAAGGGAAAGATGATGTTTAATGGGAGAAATTTGTATTTTACTTGTCTTACTTACCTTCCCAGAAATACATATATTTCATGTCATTGTCAAAATGTTTCGCCTTAATACAAGAAAAGTAAATCTGATGTCTGGAATTTCAAGCTAGCTAGGAGAGGAGGGCTTAGTCTTCCAAAGAGATATTTTTGGAGAGGTGGAGCTTTTGGATGCTTCTCAAATTGCAATGTGTTGTTATCCACAGGCTCTGTCTCTGGATAGGTCCAGTCTTGCTCACTGCTTTCTGCCAGATCAGCCTTCTCTTAACCTACAGTAAAGGGTCACTGGCCCAGGCATGGGATCATGTCTAAGAGTGAGAAGGCACACACAAGGACGAGAAAAGTGTGAATTTTTATAGAAAGAAAGCTTGCTGTGATGTCAGTATGAGTGGTTAAAGTGGTTACAGCTGTAGAACCCTTCTTCATCATCAGGTGCTCACCTAAATAAATGAATTAGGTCAGCCAGAATAGACCTGTTGAAATGTATCAGATGAAATTGTATTGAGCCACACCCACATTCTGCCCCAGCAG